GACGCAGAACATGCATTTTTCGTGTACCCACTATTTTCGCCAGAACGAGCTACGCTGCAGGCAGCCACGCCTTACACCCGACAATCATGCTGGAGAGCCCCTAAAAATGGAATTCGGTTGCCGAAATGGCAGCATCCGTGATGCTTGAGCGGAGACACCGGGAGCAGACCTGTCGAACTGGAGGCGACCACGACTCTTCTTTTTCCTTCTAAATTAAAAAACAATATATATATATACAAAAAATTAAAAATAAATTTACATATGGGCATTGAAACGTATAGCACTATAATTTGTGCTAAGATCAATTTTGGACACTTGTTCGTTTTCAAGATATTTACTAAAATGTACTGCCAGTTTAAGCTCTGATTACAGCGAAGCATGATGAAAAATTTTAATGCAATAAGTTTAAATTGATTATGCAATCAATTTTATTAATAATGTATTTTGTTTGATTTTAAAATACTAAGTAGTTATTTTTAAAATCGATTATTTTGAAATTTATTTTAGAAAATTAAAAATTTTCCTAGTCTTGATCAATCTGACTAATTTTTTATGTAACCACGTCAAAAATACTCGTTTTTAAGCAATTTTCAGGTTTTTGCCGTGGTGGACCTATTTTGGGAATTGCCCATATATTTGTACATATATGTATATGTATGTATGTACATGTATGTATCCCTGCAGTACCGCGTGTCATCAATAGCCACTGTCATCAACCGACTGCGACTTCTATAGAGTCGACGCTCTGCCGACTGCGACTTCTACCGAGTCGAAGCTCTGCCGGCTGCGACTTCTTTAGAGTCGACGCTCTGCCGACTGCGACTTGTACGGAGCCTACGCTCTAATGCTGCCATGGTGATTGTCTCTCTCACTGCCTCACTCACTCTTCAAACGAGTGAGATGAGCCAAAAGCAAATAAGTTAACAATTAAAATCGAACCAACTGTTTCGCACCCTAGAAATTTAGCATTTGTATGTGCATAATATATTATCATTAACGATTATAATGATGGTATTAGAAATAAATATTCTTTAAATATAAAACGCAAATGAAAAAATAATTGCATATCGAACAAAATTGTTTGAGTTGCAATAACATTTTAAGTAACTTGTTGCCTCGTCGGATATATCATTTATACTCTGTTTACAAGGAAGCAAAACACTCGGACACAAGATAGCCAAACGGGACTTTGAGAGAAAAAAACGGACTTGAGGATCCGTTTTTCCGGATCGTGGTTCGTTTTGTTGTTGGAGGCACGGTCCTTTTTTTTCTATTGCTTATTCGTGTTTTCACTTGCAGTTAAACAGTGAGCTAAGTGAGAAGTGTGCGGATTGCGCACTGCGCACGCCAAATTAAAAAAAAAAATTTTACATACATATATAAATATTCTGTTTAGTTTTCAATAATTGAAATTATATATCAGGTGAGTTTTTATGTAAAGATTTAAAAAAAGTTTACTTTCGTATCAATTCTGACTTCTATTTTGAGTACATCTTCCCGTCCTCCCACTTTGTGTCTGCATGCAGCTATTGTGATACATCGATGGTGCAAAGTGTAAGAAAAGGCTTTGAGACCATAAGAAGTTCTACTCTGCACTCTTAGGTAATTATGTATTTTTTTTTAGATTTTTATATCAATTTATTTTCCATATTTTCCTTTTCAGATGCAATAAGTCAAGTTGATGCAACGGAGCCACCTGCCAACCGTTTAACTAAAAACCTTCCTTGCGCAAAAAATTTGGAGGCGCAACATAAAAAAAGGAAAAGGGATGAAGACGTGTTAGAATGTGGTCCGAGCGTTTTTCAATACATTAATATTTAATTTTTAATGTTAATTATTATAATTATTATTATTGTATTATTATTTTTTTAATTTATTTTGTATTATTATAAGAATATTTTTAATTTGATTATTTGTATTATTTTATGTATAATTTTAATTTTATTATGTTAGTTTTTAAGAGGATATAATAAAAGTGAATGAATTGAAATATGAAATCCCTTATTTATGTTTTTTAATTCATTTATTATTGATGACACATCGATGAACTGTTGATGAAACATCGATGAATTGTTGATAAAACATCGATGAATTGTTGATAAAACATCGATGTTTCACCGATGTGTCATCAACAAAACATCGATGAATTGATGATGAATTGTTGATGAAACATCTATGAATTGTTGATGAAACATCGATGTTTCAGGACATGCCCATGTTAAATTCATCAACAGTTTGTATGGGCTGTCATCGATGAATCATCAACAGCACCCTCTTCGCTGTTGATGAAACGTTGATGAATTACTGATGACAGGTACTGCAGGGTATGGGACTAAGTATCAACTGACAGCAATTTAACACTAGTGCATGCACAGCAATATCATTCTTCGACAAGTCGCTGTTGTTGATGAATAATTTTATTTAACATTTTTTGTTCAGTGTTTCCATATAATTCTACTATTTACCATATGCATATAGTGCTGCACCACAAACTCTCACGTCATAATTCGCATTTTAAAAAAATTTAACCTTTCATACACTTTTGCCAGCTAAAATGTATTATTCCTAACACCTTCGACAGTTAAAACCCAAATAAAAAAAAAACAACCCCCCCTATTCTATCATTGAGAATGGAAGGTGCGAGAGACAGAGAGAGAGAATCTTCATGGGATGTAGTATTTGCGATTTTTACCTATTTTAGTTATTTTTTTCATCAGCGTTTTTTCAACCAATAGAAAATGAGAACGCGAGACAGTCGGTTTTAACACGATTGCCAACTGGGAGCGTCGGCTTGGCAGAACTCGCAGTCAGCACGTGTTCTATAAATGATAGAGTAGAATTCATGTATCCTGTACCGATTACCCACTGTGCCAATGTCAGCATTGTGCTACAGAGTACTTACGTAAACTTAAAAGGACCCGGCCGTTAAACTCAATTAGTCAACATAAGTGCCATACATGCATATACAACTTATGTCGCGTTCTCGCTGTCACCAACTATATATATATGTATGTATGTATATTAGCATAGATATTTTTGTTATTGACCTATTTTTTTTGTAATTGACCGAAATGCATGAAGGTACACACCGGTATGCAAAGGAATATGAACTCTAACGTCCAGAACTTTGCTTTCTTTTTAAGTTTTTAATTTGCCATTCATTTGAATGCATATTGTATGATAAAGTAATTAAATGACTCGTTCCGATTATGTGAATATATATTACCTTCAAAAGAAAGAAACATATTTAAAAAGTTGATTCCAAATCAAAATCTCAGAGACTATTACGTAAAATAAATAACATGTGGAAATGGCTAATCCCACTTAGATGATTTAGGGTAGGAAATTTAATTATTAAATTTTTTATACCCTTGCAGGGTATTATAATTTCAGTCAGAAGTTTGCAACGCAGTGAAGGAGGCACCTCCGACTATATAAAGTATATATATTCTTGATCAGGACCAACAGCCGACTCGATCTAGCCATGTCCGTCTGTCCGTCTGTCCGTTTCTACGCAAACTAGTCTCTCAGTTTTTATGCTATCTGAATGAAACTTTGCAGTTAGTCTTCTACTCGTATATATGTCGGAACGGGCCGGATCGGACAACTATATCATATAGCTGCCATAGGAATGATCGGAAAATTTTTACAAAAAAAATTATAACATTTTTAGTTTTCAACAGAATTTGATCAAATTTGAGATATAGCCATTTCATATTATTCTACCATTTTGTGTAAAATTTGATGACAATCGGACAACTATATCATATAGCGCTCATAGGAACGATCGAGAAATTAATTCAATTAAAAAGTATAACATTTTCAGTTTTCAACAGATTTTCATCAAATTTGAGATATATTTCATTTTCATTTTTTTTATTATTCATTTCATACTATTCTACAATTTTGTGTAAAATTTTATGAAAAATGGACGACTATATCATATAGCTCCTTTAGGAACGATCGAGAAATTAGTTCAATTAAAAAGTATAACATTTTCAGTTTTCAACAGATTTTCATCAAACTTGATACATAGCCATTTTATAAGAAATAAAAGAAGTTAATAAAATTAAAGATTATAGCTTCTTCAGTTGTCACCAGATTTTCATCAAATATCATTTTATTTTAATCTAAATTTTGTGTAAAGTTATAAAAAAACCGGACTACTATATCACGAACGATCAAAAAATGAATACAATTAAAAATTATAACGTTTTCAGTTTTCAGCAGATTTTCATTAAATTTGAAATATAGCGTTTTATATCAGTCTTAAATTTTGTATATGGACGACTATATCACATAGGTGCTATACAAACGATCGTTAGATGTGGAGCAAAAATGCAAATCTGTGAATGTAAAACTGAAAATATAATATGTATAGGTGAATGAAATGAGAGCAGGTATTACTTCATTGTTTTTTTTAACATTAATATATATATTTTATATTGTATGGAAGTAATCCAAGAAGTCATCGAAGTTCTATCTGCAAGGGTATATAAACTTCGGCGTGCCGAAGTTAGCTTCCTTTCTTGTTTTTAATTGTAATATCCTGCAAATGCATGAAGCTATAATTTTATACGATATCAATTTTACCCCGACAATGGTCAAACTAACCTTGGAATCGGATTTAGTAATCGAAAATTGAACTGTATAGGTGTTTTTTCAGTTTAAATAGCGTAAATAAATCTATTATTTGTGTTACAATTTGATTTATTTTTGAGTTACTGATAGTTTTATGTACTCGAAATCATATAGATGTAACGTGTAACGTAAAGAATGGGTCTGACCTGAAACTGTAATTGTATTTCAAATTCAGCTTTTTGAAGTTTGTTTTATATCTTGCTGATAACGGTATTTACGTCAAGTAAGCCCCTTCAACCTAATCCCTTAAATTGAAAATGAATGTGATGTTAAATATTTTTATTTTAATACAATACAACAGAATAAAAACAAATATCTGACCAAATAATTACAATAAGATTAAAAATAACAAATAATTTTTAAATAACATAATAACAATCCTTGAGACTATTTGATATATCATTTTGGGGGAAGTCATTTGATAAGCAATTTACAAGAGTAGGAACATCTTCAGTGAATTGAACAGCATCACTTTCTCGACGACGTCTCAATACCGAAACCCTGCCCATTTTTGTTTTAATATCCAAATACATGTCTAATTCTGCAAGTTTGCTAAAAAGATTTTCAAAGTCACGATCTGCATTATTGAGAAATGTACATTGTATTGCATAACTTCCAAATATAAAACAATTAAAGAGACGCTGAATACGAAATTCAAGCTGTTTCATAATAAATTTGACGTTAAGCTTTGTCACGGCATATATGTCATATGTGAGCTCAAGGTTATTACCTGCAGCACACTCAAATAGCTTAGCTGAATGATGCTTTAAAAAATCTACAAATAGTTTACGGCATTCCAGATCAAGTTTCAGTTTCCAATTATGAAGAATAGTGCTTTGTGTTTCAGCATAATAAAAAAATATTTTCTGAATGGCGGTTAATGTGCCTATAGTATATTCTAAGGCATCGTTAACAACCTCAGAAAACATCATATGAAAGAACTCCATTTCCGAAAAGTAGTTTGTTAGTAAAACCTTAACATATTTAGGTTGAGCTGTTGGGATTTGACGTAGCTTTAACAATAATGCGTGACTTGAGTATTTTGATATGTCATAAAATTTTTCTACATCTTTTGAAAACTCTCCAAAAACGTCTGAAGCTTCGTAAAAAAAGGTTACTAATTCTTGCATCCTAACTATATAATTTTCTGCACTCGTTTCTTTTTTTCTCAAATCACTAAGCACTGTTGACATAGAAAAATTTTTTTGTAGATTTTCAAAAAAATTGTGAAGTTTTTGTTGCAGTTTTTCTTTACTTTTATCGGATCTTTCGATAGCATAATAAAATTCTTTGGAAACATGTTCTGCACTAATAGAATGAAACGGCAGAGATAGTCCGGGATGATTGCTACTGACACTTGCAATTTGACCCCGAAAGCACCATATTAGACAAATTAAAACTATGTTTTTTAAAAGGAAGGAGTTCATTGATATAGCTCCAAATCGCTTTAGCTGTAATCGCACTTCGTTCGATGACTACTACTGGTGAAATGAAAAAGTGCTAAAGCGAAAACATCTAAAATGAAAATGTCTATAAATAAATGTTTATACAGAAGATATGTACATATATACTACATATACGATAAATCACCTTACTTTTACTACTTTTTATGAAAGAATTATTTGTGCATTTTAAGTGCAAATTAAGCAATTTTTCAACATACATATATTTTTGTAACAAAACGCATAAAGTAATTTCGAACTTTTTTGTATGTATTATTTACAGGTATTAAAGGTTTAGGGAGTCTTCCGAGTCCCCTCAACAAAAGATGGTGTCCGGTGAAGAAAACCAGGCACGCCGAAGTTTTTATACCCTTGGAGTATACAAGGTACAAATATAATATAAAATATAAATACTCCTGTTAAAAAACAACGAAGTATTGCCTACTTTCATTACATTCGCCCATACATACATATGTATTATATTTACAGTTTTACGGTTACAGTATTACATTCAAAGTTTTGCTTTTTTTCATATTTAACGGGTATTATAATTTCAGTCAGAAGTTTGCAACGCAGTGAAGGAGGCACCTCCGACTATATAAAGTATATATATTATTGAACAGGATCAACAGCCGAGTCGATTTAGCCATGTCCGTCTGTCCGTCTGTCCGTTTCTACTAGACTAGCTATCTGAATGAAACTTTGTAGTTAGCCTTCTATATACTCTCACGCATATACATATATGTATGTCCGAACGGGCCGGATCGGACAACAATATCATATAGCTGCCATAGAAATGATCGGAAAATTTTTACAAAAAAAATTTTAACTTTTTCAGTTTTCAATAGAATTAAATTTGAGATATAGACACTTTATTTTACTCTACAAATTTGCATAAAATTTTATGAAAATCGGACTACTATATCGTATAGCTCCCATAGGAACGATCGAGAAATTAATAAAATTAAAAATTATAACTTTTTCGGTTTTCAACAAATTTTCATCAAATTTGAGGTATAGCCATTTTATATCAGTCTTAAATTTTGTGTCAAATTTCATGAAAATCGGACGACTATATCATATAGGTGCCATACAAACGATCGTTTGATGTAGAGCAAAATGCAAATCTGTGAATGTAAAACTGCAAATATAATATGTATAGGTGAATGAAATGAAAGCAGGTATTACTTCATTGTTTTTTAACACAAATATATATAATTAAAACTGTATGGATTCCTATTCATAGAAGTTCTATCTGCAAGGGTATATAAACTTCGGCGTGCCGAAGTTAGATTCCTTTCTTGTTTATTTTCGATTTAACTTTTGAAGGAGTTAGAAATTATATACATTTGTACACTCATCAGAAAAAGTGTGCGTACAAACTTAACGCGCAACTTTGATGTTAAATAAAAATAGTTGTATGGAAGATATTGAGTTCATTTTTTTTTTAATAAACGACATATCTATTATTAAAAATTATAGCCAGTCTTTATTTATTTCCGTCCACAACTTTTTTAATTAAAATGAAAAAACAAAAAATACCCATGTTTTCGGGCAAGAAAAAGTGTGCGTACAAAATTCAATTAAGATAAAAAAAAACATTTATTGTTAAAGCTTGATAAAATTAGTAAGAAGGAGGAGACCCATTACTTTCTATTGTCCCATTTAAGCGTTTTGGAATTGAATAAGCCAATTTTTCGGTGAATTCAGGTGGTATTTTACTCCACTCATCCAAAATCTCATCCTTCAACGTATCCTTCGATGTAATTGTTCGAAGACGAATCCTGGGCTCCAGCAAAAACCCACAGATCCTCTATGGGGCTTAAGTCCTGCGACTGAGGCGATGAATGTAGTTGATTTTTGGTATAAAAAAGCAACCATAGCTTCAAACTAAGCGAAGTATGCTTGGGGTCATTATCCTGTTGCAACCAAAAATCATGGGCTGTGGTCGTAATCCTATGTTAACGGCCGCAAAAACTGGCCAGGATATAAAGGAGAAGTAGAAAAAGGATTTAAATGATGACACAGTCCGCAAATTTTGAAAAGGAGGAATTTCATGCCTGTGCTGCGCCGAAGAAGCCTCTCATATTGCCCGTCAATAAATAGAAGTGCGTGGATTTTGCTAAAAAATTCATCCAAGAGCCTTTAGCCTTTGGGAAAATGATTATTTTTAGTGATGAGAGCCAATTTTGCCTATCTGGCATAAAAGGGCGAAAACTTGTGTGGCGCAAACCTGGCACAGCCCTTGATGTGCAGAAGCTCGCTCCAACAGTTAAGCACGGTGGTGGCAGTGTGGTGGTGTGGGGGTGTATGGCAGCAAGTAGAGTTGGCCACTTGGTCTTTATTGACTCCACAATGGACCACAAGGCTTATATGAAAGTCCTTAAGGACAAGTTGCACCAAAGCGCATCAAGATTGGGTCTGGCAGATGATTTTTGGTTGCAACAAAATAATGACCCCAAGCATACTTCGCTTAGTTTGAAGCTATGGTTGCTTTTTTATACCAAAAATCAACTGCATTCATCGCCTCAGTCGCAGGACTTAAGCCCCATAGAGGATCTGTGGGTTTTTATGGAGCGTAGGATTCGTCTTCGAACAATTACATCGAAGGATACGTTGAAGGATGTGATTTTGGATGAGTGGAGTAAAATACCACCTGAATTCACCGAAAAATTGGGTTATTTAATTCCAAAACGCTTAAATGGGACAATAGAAAGTAATGGGTATCCTCGTTCTTACTAATTTTATCAATGCATTAACAATAAATGGGTTTTTTTATATTAATTGAATTTTGTACGCACACTTTTTCTTGCCCGAAAACATGGGTATTTTTTGTTTTTTAATTAAAAAAGTTGTGGACGGAAATATATAAAGACTGCCTATAATTTTTAATAATAGATGTGTCATTCATTTAAAAATAAAATGAAGTCAATATCTTCCATACAACTATTTTTATTTAACATCAAAGTTGCGCGTTAAGTTTGTACGCACACTTTTTCTGGTGAGTGTATGTACATATGTATTTTTGTATTTTATCTGGCAAACGTAAAAGGAAGGTTAACTTTTGTAAAATTCCAAGTATGGAGTTACAGTAGTAAATGGATATGATTTATAGCAGATTTATATGGAAACGAGTGCAGCTGTAAAATTATAGACAAAACAGTGCAAATATTTGGAAAACAGTGAAATAAAGTGTTTTAAAAATGGAAAAGTAAGTGAAGTAAAAATGGAAAATTACATACTAAATTACACAATTACCAGAACTTAATTTTTTAAAATACTAAGCCAAAAAAAAATCTACCTTAAATGTTGTTGAAATGTTGATGACTTTTTGATGAATCATTGATTAAATATTGATTTTTTGTTCTTGATGATAGTCTACGACATGCCCATGTTAAATTCATCAGTAATTTGTAAGGACATTCATCGATGAATAATCAACGACATCACCTTGTCTGTTCATGAATCATTGAATTCCTTTTTAATGGTACTATTTACAGTTGTACAGTTTTGACTGTATATTCACAATCTCGTATTTTCTTCTACATTTCAATCTCGTTACCATGCTAACTATACTTTTTAAAAGCATTTTTATTTATTCAAAGTATTTTCCCCCAGCCTGAATACACTTATTAGCACGTTCCAAAAGCTTATCAAATCACCGTTTTAGGGCCTCGATCGGCAAATCTTTAAAAATGTCGGTCGTCGCCTTTTAAATGGTTTCAATGTAATCATAGCAACTTCCATTCGGGACTTTGGTGTTTTGTTTCCGGATCGTATTGAAAACACCACGATTCCTCGTCAGTAACGATGTTGGAAGGAGGTTTGGTTCTTTTCTGGCTTTCTTAATGATGCTTTTCGAATCCGAAGCGCCGTTTCCTTGTTTTTTCAATTGATGGGGAACAAAGCGTATAAATAGATCATGAATAGAGTCTTTAGACATACTCAATTCCGCTTTCATATACCGCAATAAATATTTCGGCTCATTTTTTATGAGTTCACGCCCTCGTTTGATGTTATCATCATTCACAAAAGGTCTCGGCCGGCCCGACCGTTCGTTGGGAGACCCAATTCTTCCCGACCGTCTTTGAAACGCTTATATCAGTCGTAAATGGTGTTACGGAATGGGCAATGATCACCATAAACTTGTTTCATCATTTCATAAGCTTGGGTAGAAGATTTACCGAGCTTAAAACAAATCTTAATATTCGCTCTTTGTTCAACGCTCATAATATGACCAATGAAAAAAACACACATTTGACAGCTAAAAAATTTCAATATTTCTATTTCTCAGAGCAGATGAATATATTACGAAGTTGTAATTTTACATAATAGTATACATAAAGAGTAGTCCGATTTTAATAAAAACAGAAATTGAATAGCAATCCAAATTCATATTTTAATATTTTTTTCTACACATTTTCCGATCGTTTTAATTACAGTTTTTTTATATGTTTAGCTGACATGGAAAGGATCCAAAAATTAAAAAAAAAAAATTCTTTACCTTGCCAGTTTCTACTACAATTTGAAAATGCTTCTTTTTTTCAACATATGGGCGTTTTCACAGAAAGGTTCTTCGTGGCCAAAAATTAAATGTTTTTTATTAATCTTATTTTAATATTGTCACGATAAAAAAACGGTCAGATAAAATTAAAAAAAAATTTTTTTAATTTAGACTGCAAAATAGAGTAATCAATAAAATGCAAAATAACATATGCGATTACTAATATTCATACAGTTAAGATTTGAATTATCGCTTTCTGAAATGTACCGTGCGATATATCTACACTTCCTACAGTGATTCACCATACGGATGTTCCATAAGTTTATGCCATTTTGTTCTCCATCCGAATTTGAGAACTTCCTTTGTTGATAGTTCGGCGATAGTTTTTTGTATTGTAGTATGACTCAACGAGATGAACTCAACGACGAGGGGCGCCTGCTGATGGAGAAATGGGCGGAAGTCGACACCAGACAGTCTGAAATGGTAACAGAAAAATTACTATCGGAGCCATCTGACCCGACACACTCCTTTGGTTCTTCAGACAGCCATTCAGCCGTTCTTATTCCAGCGATGCTTCCAGTTGGAGAACAACGACCAT